TTTTTGAATAATAAATATATTTCAAATGAATCCATTGTGTTGCTTCGATTAATTGAACACGAGCAGATACAATTAATGCTATCGTACCATTCGAACCTGGAATACCATTCCATAAACGAATATTTTCATTCGAATTGATTATTTGACCATTTCCAGTTATTTAGCGTTGCATGAAGAACTGTTTTATCAAAAGTACCATGAATAAATGATGAACTTTCAATCGCAATTCCTTGAATGGCACCACCAAGTGTTATCGATTTAAATTCAGGAATAACACAAGGCAGCAAATTGTATTTCAGTGTTTCATTACACAATTCTTCAAATGTGACCAATGATTCAACATCAACATATTTGTCTTTGGAATTAATTTCAATAATTGAATTTAATGAGGAAATATTTATACGAAATTTGCCTTTTTTATATTCAGTTGATCTTGATGAATGTCCTTCACCTAATTGACGATCTAAAACGATTTCGATATTTGGATTCTTCTTTGTTATATTGGCGATTGTTTTTGCGATCTCATTTATATCCTTTTCATGTTGTTCACCAGTTTTATATTTACATTTATTTGGATTGAACTTCTTGAAAATTTCCCAGGGAATATTTATCAATAAAAAGAACAGATCGTAAATAATCGACAAAATCAGTTTCAATTTTTCCCAAGTCATTATTAAATCTATAAAAGAGAAAAGAAACTTATTACAAAATAAAAAAACTCGTTTATTTCTACTCAATGATTCTTTCTTTTTATTGGTCTATTGCATTTTCTTATCAAAGCTTCAATGCATCTCAATATCAAACAATGAGTCGCTTTTTGTCTTTATTTCACATTGATATGTGCGGATCGAATAAAAACCATCATACAAAACATATTTCTTATTCAGAAGAAAAGAATAGAAAATGTTTCACTTATGATATTTTGTGGTACTTTGTCTTTTGATATTCCGATTAAAAACACTGCTTTCAAAAGTTTACATATCATGTTCACTTTTCTGTTTATACAATACAGAACATATTCTAATTGAAATTTCTATCTGTATGGGCCGTATAACCCTGTATTGGTATTTTAATAACTTAAGATTATGCAACAATACGCAAAGTCAAAACTGATGAAATCTATTTGTTTTGTTTTCGACAAAGAACGACTAAGATTTACGAAGAAAAATATTTGCATTGATAAAATAGATTTAACAAATCAGATCATTTCAAATCCATAGTTTATCAATACGAAAAGAAACGAAAAGAAAATACCCAATTCACATTCATTTGTTTTTCTTTCCATTTATGTCGAAGTCGAAATGATAACAACAATTGAACACTTTTCAAATGAAATCTTTCATGAAATCTTTGAATATCTCTATGGTAATGAGATTTATAAAGCATTTTCACGACTCAACTATCGTTTTGAACAATTAATTGATGATCCATGTCTTCAATATAAAATTCTAATTGATTATTCATCAAATGAAAAACGAACAAAGAAAAAATTAAAGAGAGTTTGTCAGATGAATAAAAAGCAAATATTTTGTATTTCTATTTGGACATGGATTAATAATACGGAAATCATTTCATCATTAGATTTCAACTCATCATATTCAAATCTTCAACATCTCATTTTAAGTTATATCCAACCCAATACAATTTCTGTTGTTCTTCATCAATTAATTGAATTACCTCGTCTATATTCATTAACAATTCAAACAGAAGATACAATAAAAACATTTGGTAAAATTTATCAATTAGTTTTTACTTTACCAAAACTTCGATACTTCAAATGTAAAGCGGATGAAGCAACAAATGAAATTATTAATAAATCATTACCAATTGCTTCATTGGAACAATTGACTTCAATCGAACAATTGATTATCGATCATCCATGTAGTTTAAAACAACTTGTTCATCTTGTATCCTATACACCAAAACTTCAATATTTGAAATTTTTGAATTTAAATGATAATAATAAAAAGAATTTCAATTTTCTTTCTTCAATTCAATTGCCAAATTTAACATTTCTTTCAATTCAATCATATCATACGATGTTTGATACATTGGAAACCTGTATTGATCAATTCACATTTGATTTAAAAATCTTTTCCATAAATATTCATGCTGAAGATCGAAATTATCTTGATGCCCAACGATGGAAACAAATTATTCAAAGAAATTTTTCGAAATTAG